GTGAATGTGGCATGTAGTGTACAGCGCATTGAGTGGTCGAGAGACTAGAAAGGTGCTATGTAAGTACAGTCCGTTTACCATTTACCATAATGTTGAAACATAAAAATGACTTAATTAAATTACCTTAATTAGGGGATTACTTAGGACAGAATCCTCTCAAATTGGGGGTCCATGGTCTAATGTGTAACTATTCTTGCAATGAAAAAGTTTGGGAATCCATAGAGCATTTTATCATGTTTATTTTTTTACCATTGGGGATCCAAGAGGGCACTTTTGCTGCCCTAGCTGATACTGTTACTTTTTCATGATTTATTATACTGACTAATGTGTCACAACATGTTTCTAGCAATCTTTGTTCAGTCTTGTCGATCGTCCCCCCCCTTACCTGCTGATGGATTTAAGGGAATGTTGTTGTCCACGCCGTCACACACCCACTCTTTGCAGCAGCGCCCTGGCAGTCGCACCAGCTGAGAGTGGGGGCACTTATCAGCAGGCCTCTGCAGATCATCGCTGCACAGTGGCACACAGGTCACCCCTCCCCCCAGGCAGTAGCAAAGCTGGGCACAGGAGGGTTGGAATACCTGTCCCTCCTCCAGCTTCCTGCCATTCATCTCACAGCCCAGCTCATTACGACCTGATCACAGCAGAGGGAAGATGAGGGGGAGAGGGGGGAATTCTATGTGATTGGCAAATTAGAAGTGGAGCAAGTATGGGAAACATAAAAACTGTTGATAGCCACTAATTATTGTAACAACATGCATGAGCAAGAAATTCTCAGGAAAATGTTGCAGCAGTATCCTGGAGTGGGTTGGACTTTGATGATTGACTGATGACTTCAAACTTGAAAATCCCTTTTTTTAAAATCTATTCTGCCTGTATTATATATATATATATATATATATATTACATTTATATATAACCAGACACACTTATTTTTTGACAAATTCTCCCTGATGCTTGCACTATATTGTTCTATTAGGTCTCTGTTGTTCTAACTGTGAACTTTCCCAATACAGGACAAGGCTGTCTTTAAAGTTTAGATCTTGATAAGGCCCCCTGTGAAGCTTTGGCGACCCCTAGGGCGTGTCCTGAGCCCCAGGTTGTTTGTTTTTTACATTGGTTTGGTAAACCACTTGAAGTGTTAGCACTGATGTGTCGACATTTTATGTATTTGCTAAAAGATCCTAATAAATTCTGTCACTCCAAGATTGATAGTTCCACATTTTGCGTAGTTAAACGTGTGTTACTAGATACAATGCTGATAAAACACAAATAACTAAGTTTTTCCAAGTTACAATATGCAAATGAAATCAATTCTGCAGAATGGCCCAGTAGCAGTTTTGTCATTATTAGAAGTAGTACTGCAGGTATTTGCAGCTCTAATCTAAAATAATCTGTTACAGCTGGAGCGTGTTCTGTTCTCACCAACGCACTGGCCCGGCCCTCCTGGGAAGCTGGCGCTGTAGTCACACTGCAGCCCTCGGTGGTCATCACAGGGCAGCTGCTCGGTGCAGGCCTCGCCCTCCTGCCTGGCACACACCTGGCAGCACCCACAGCTGTCTGACATCAGAGGAACGCCGGCAGGACAGCGTGGCAAGATGGGTGGGCACTGACACGGCCCAGTGCACAGCTGGCACCACACCTAAAGTAAGAGTGAGAAAATACCAGCTGCTGTTTACACTCCCTCACTTGATATGCTCCAGTGTATCTGGTTCCTCTGGTATTAAAAACATGTGCAGGAGTGGATTTGATACTGCAACTCACATACACAACCCCACACTCACCACTGTGAGCAGTTTTCACTGGAACTACTTTCTGTGGACGCAATAGTTCTAATAGTTCAGCGAGGGATTATCCAGAGGAAGCAGGACATTGTGTAAAGACATGATTCAGTTGACCTTTTAAAAACCTTTCGAAAGCAGGACTGTCACACCTAAAACATCAGTGTGGAACAATGGAAGTATCTGCTACTCAAGGTGCTTCTCGGGTCATGTGATGAAATGTGTTTTTTTGCAGTTTGGGTGTTAAGAATTATAAATCTCTAACTGTACCCATTCCTTCTAGTGCAGGTAGTCCGGTAAGATCAGTAAGTCATAGAACCTGCTGAGTGCTTTTTCTCTGCAAATTTGACTTTTCAGAACAAAAAAATAGAACACACACAGGAAGAGGCCCTGTATTCTCCATCTCATGTAAAGCTGTCTTTCAACAGACGCATGGTAACCACATGTTTTTACCACAACTACACAGAGGTGTAAATAAACTGTAAAAGAATGGGTAAGCGTGAGTGTGTTCCTGTGACAGTAGTAGAAACAATAAAAGGGGGATGGGTCAACTAACATTCAAAAATACACTCTGAAGAAAAGCACTGGCCATGAGGTAGCAGTTTCGTAATGGAGCTTTGTTGATAAGGCTGTGATTTAAAATAGGAAGTAGACTTACGTTGTAGTCTACTTCCTATTTTAAAATGTATTTATTTTTGAATCACAGGTCCAGGTCACACAGTGATTTCAAGGGACGGCCCCTGGTGAAACCACTGGGTAAAACCACTGCGTGGGTATTTCAGCTGAAGGCATCATATATATGCTCATCAGATATTTCTAGGCCAAATTCCCTTTGACAAAGAGAACCTCTCAGGTCTAAATGATGTGAAACCACTGATAGATGTGAATCACACAAACTGTTTGTGTGAGCTGGAGGCGTTGCATTAGTTGTCAAAAGGAGATCATATTTAAGATCACACAGACATAAATGTAAGTGACTTGGTCAAAGAGGTACGGTAGCTTTGTGGAATTGTACGGTTTTTCCCAGTCAGAAACTAATAAATGTCTGAAGGTATGTCAAACAGCAATACTAGGCTATCTTGGCTCAGTTGTTGAGTGTCTGTGGGATCAAACAACATAATCATGATCTCATTCTGGAATTGAACAAAACAAGTGGGGGATGAGGGGGCACCTTTTTCCAAGCTGTGTCTGATGGGAGGTCCACAGTGTCAGACTTTAAAAACCCCTGTCCTCGCTGGTAACATGAGCTTCCTTTAACCTTTATATGGAGGGGGAGTTTTTACTTATTAGCTATTACAGTAAAAAGATTAATCACATCCCAGAAATGATTCTGACATCAAAGTATGCACAAAAGATGCTCTGGTCTTTGATAAGCTCTATCTGAACTGATATCCCAGTCAGATACCTACACTACCAAAAAAGAATTACAGATTTTTTTTTTACTGTATGAGGGGAGCAAGTCTACTTCCTATTTTTACGACTATTAATTGACTAACATTAGATTATACTAATATATTGATAACATAATATAGACTTATGTTATTTCTTATTTCCATGTCATGCCAAACATTTCGCTCATCCTATACAAGACACTGCTATATATCATGCCATATGATAAGAGAGAAGAAATGCTAAAAGTCTATGTTTCCCTCATTTCCAAGACTTTCTACCAAGTGGCTAACTTAAATGTTTCTTTTTCCAACAGCCAGCCATGCATATGAGGTTATTGTTTTTATTTTAATAAACAATATATTTTGTGGTTCCCAGTAAAAGAAAAAAGCAATAGAAAACAAAATTAATATAACTTTCTATAACTGCCATCACTGAGATGGCACATTGAACAAATCTACTGTCCCTCTTCCAGACTAATATACTGTTCAGTTTCCAGATCTCAGCTGGGCACATAAATATCTGCATTTCTTGGACAAATTCATAATTAATAATAATTCTCTGTACCATTTTAGGTCATTCTAAATGTTCACCATTTTAGTTTAGTCTACATATTATCCATCCACTGCCCTTCACTGTCAGCTAACATACAAATATTGACCATTTTACTATTGAAAATGATAGCAGGCACAACACTTGTAAAACAAAGTTCACACTTCTTTTGACCACAATTCCTTGATTTGTTTATCCCAAATAAATATCCTTTTTGTCAGCCTGTTTTTTTTCGGTAGCAGTTTGCAGTTACGTAATTGACCTAAACATAGGCCGCCTTCCAAACCTCATACAGTCCCCATCCCATCTTCTCCACTATAGTCAGCTTTGGTTCATATTTGTTCACCTTCCAATAAGGGTACAAATTATATACTTAACTAATGCTTAACTAATGCATGACGTATAATGATTTAATGTATGAATTAATGCAGGATGTATAATGAATTTCTGTTGCTCACCACTAACTATGATCAAGTCACTGTGACTTTATTGATTGGTTTACACTTAATACATCATCAGTTAAGGGATGTTAATTCACATTAACTGACATGGGACCAGTTAGATGGAGTAATCTTATATAAAAGGTTTTGTTTTTGTTTTTTTATTTTCTCCAGTCTCTGATAATAAAAAAAAATCTAATCTCTTAGTCTTTTTATTTTATTATTATCTATTTTGTGTTTTAATTTAATTTTATTGTATGTCTTCTATTCTGCTATCTTGGCTATCCTTTTGCTTTGTCTGTCATATTGTAATTTCTGCTGATGTGACAGGGAAAAAAGGGATTTTAATTTCATTATATTGGGAAACTTTCTCAAAATATTGACTTAGCATCTCAAATTACTTCGTACAAAGTTTCTCATTGTTTTGACTAAGTCATTATTTTTAAGTTATTTTAACTTAAAAGAAGAAAGACAAAAAATTATTCTTTGTAATTTCAACAATTTTTTGAGTTAAATGAACTTATCTGATTTTACAGTGTAGACTGAAGTTGTAGCTCTGACGTTGGTACTCCTGTGATTCCCCTAATGGTATGGTGATTAATGCCAGTCCTTTTCTTTGTATTACTGCTTCACAAACTGTTAATATGGAAAATAACTGGGACAGCCCCAGCCCAACCACCATCATCAAAGCAAGCATTCACATATCACACACACCACAGTTCACCACGTCACTACAGAGAGCTGAGATGAGTCCTTTTAGGGCTAACAATACAGCCTGTTCATTTACAGAGAGGATACAATCTAATTACAGCAGGTCTCACCTGAGTGATGATACACAGCAGCAAAGAGCAAACAAGCTGGGTGTCTCGACTGTCCATCTTCATCACCTCTGTCTTTGTTTGTCCAGTCCCCCTCCCTTCCTCTTCTCCTCCTCTGGAGTAGGATGTAGATGTATTTATTACAGCTGCCTACCTCCATTCATTTATATAGTCTAGGTTCTGATGTCACAGGCAGTGGACTGCAAAGTAAATAGTTTTGAAAACTCTCAGGCTCATCTCCACATTCCTGCAGCAAACCTTCTCCACTGCCCCCCTCTGCCCCAGATGCTGCTCAAAGATGCTTAGTATGCCTGGCTGAAGAAATAGACCTAAGTTGAATGTAATGTAGGACAATCTGTGTTATCCCTCTGTTGATTCACAATGTCAGTTTCCTTTTAAAGAGAAGATCTTTGGGACTTCCTACCTTTCTCTTTCTTCATTTCTTTCTCCATGTCTGACTTAAACACTATTCAACATTGTCCCTTTTTGTCAGTAGCTTTGTAAAATTTGCTACATTTTTGTTTTAATCTGTTATTTTTTCAGCTTTATTGTTAAAAACATCATTGAGTGATACCTGATAGGGTTTGATTTTTAAGGACTAAGTCAAACTTGTTAAAATCGACCGGATCAGGAGATTTTGACAACGACTGCACATTCAGATGCTGCAGCCGATTGACTAGCTCCTTCGCACTTCTGTTTTTTTCCAGCTTTATTACTGAAACACAGATTACCTAATACAGAAATACATGTGTAACCAGATAAGAAAGCATGGTGTTTGGATTAAGAACAGTGGACCATGAAGATGATCCATCCAGCCAAATTGGCCGGACCAGCCCACTATGGCAGGTGCTGTGATCGTCCCAAGAGGAGAGGAAGAGAGCCCAATGGAAACCATACAGGCCAACCTTGGACTTAAGGCTACTCTTGGCTAATGTCTGGTCTATACAAAATTTGACTCACAAATCAGAGACTGTTGTGCCCACATCTTTAAAGAGACCTGTTCCATCAACATCTTGGATCATGGGCGGACCGTGTTCCAAGCCGACAGAGCACAGGATGAGAGGAGGCGGACTTGATGATGCTTGGTGCTCAAACAGTCAGTGGATGGAGACTGTTCCTTTTATGTGAAGATGAAACCATATTATAATGACTAGCTTGTTAAATATATCAAATATATATATCAAAGAAAAGATGACACAGCAACCACATAATACTGGTTTATAAATTTGAACATAACAAATTGCCCATCAATACATCCAGCAGATACGGAGCAACATTTATTTACAGCAGTGTTTGGGGCCAACTTCTCCAGTAATAACTCTCCTTTTAGCTATGGCTTGGGCCCTCAAAAAGTAAAAGTCAGTTGCACAGTGCAATTAGTCACATTCCATAAATATGAAAACTAGTGTTGTGCGACTCTCCTGTCAGTGATGATGAAAAAACACAATGGGTGTTTGGGACACTGCTAATGTTGTGCTCAGCTCTCTGCTTCCCCCAAGTGGCTAAAATGAGGGGGCACTTTAAAGCAGCAGCAGGTAACTTTTATAAAAAATAACCTTTTGTCATATTTGCTGAAACTTTCACTTTTCAACAAGAGACAGATCATGACTGGCTACTCAGATGTTTCTTGGACAGGTGTTTTTAATTTAAAATCATTCTTTCAGGTCCATTTGTCAGAATAGGTATTAGGTACAAACATTGACTCACAGTCCTGTAGACATCCCAGTCTTAATAAAACAATCATGCTTGTTGTGTTGATTAAAACTAAAGACATCTCCTGTTTTTATTATTGTTTTGGTTTTGTAAGCAGACAATATGGTTTCAGTTGTTTTTAATAATAATAATAATACATTTAATTTATAGACTGCTTTTTTTAAAGAAACTCAAAGACACTTTACATAATTTAAAAAGGAAAAGAAAAAGTTAGTAAAAGCAACACACTAAGAAATTATAGCTATATCTACAACACAAAATGTTTCTAAAGTCTGGCTTTTATTCTTATTTGAGTAAACTAAAATGTTTTTCATTTCATCATTTCAGATGTTTTAGTTAACTATAATAACCTTGATCTGGTATGTCTTGACCTTTGACCTTGTATTGACATCTCTCTGACCTTCCATTCGAAAACACCTGTGTGAGTGTGCTTTAACCAAAAGGTGATTTCCATGTGATGTGTGTTGTTATTAAAAGGAGTTGTAAGTAATGTAATATTTTTTTGTTGAAAGAAGTGTTCAATAGCTCTACATTCTGACAGCCGTCACTGATATAGAGTGCTCGGTCAGTCTCATGGGTCTCTTAGGGTTAGGGTTAGTCTCTAATATCTGCAGTAAACAGAGAATACAGCTTCTGGTATCTGTTTCCACTTTATCCAATCAGGAGAGAGAACTCCACAAAGAGGCGGTCCTCAAGGGCAGGCAGAAGAATGTCAGTGTGGTGAGTAGGGAGGAGGGAGGGGCTGCTTACTGTGAGTACGAACAGGGAGTTAGCCAAAATGCAGATTTCACTTACAGCAGCTTTACGTGCTACATTCTCTGTAAATGTATTTCCCTAAGGCAGGGGTTTCAAACTCAAATTGGTTTGGTTCCACGGCTGGTATCATCACCCCACAGGAGGGCCACTTCAAAGTTCAATAAGACAGCACAATATCCTGAAAATAGTACAAATACATCTTTGCTTATAAAGCCTCAAAACCTGCTCTCTTTTTATCGAGCGTCTGCATGCATTTGCGGGCACCGCTGACCTTTGCCATCACTTTGTGCAAAAACACTACACATTTCTAAAATGGCCAGCAGTTTGTGACCCCTGCCCTAAGGGATTGTCTAAATAGACTGTTTTGTAAAGAGAATTGGTGGTTAAATATGTAACCCCTTCTTTTATTTAAGTTTAATTTAAATGTTACTGCCTAAAATTAGTTAGTCTAAAACATATCAAAATCAGCCTTCAAAGTCCACCCAGTGTCATTTGTTTGTAACTGTAGTGAAATGTCCACAAACAACGGCAAATACAGTTTTGTTTTGAATTGATTTACCTGACTTATTCTTCTGTTTGTTTTGTAATATTTGCTATCTCAGAGCCTAAACCACAGTAAATGAATGTATCGTAGTACAGATATTTCATCACTTGGTGGCACTGTTGAATATGTTTTGGCCTGATATGGCATAACAGCTTTCTGAACTTCCTTCTGCTTGAAAGTTAAGGAAATGGAAGGGACATTTTTAGCTGTTAGACCTTTTTCACAGCAGCCATTTTGACATGAATTTGTAGGGTAAACACAGCTGTTACCAATGATACTAATAAAGTAAACGGTTCTGTTCCATTTAGTGTAGCAGAGCCTTTCCAGTGAGCCAACATGCACAATAGCAGCAAGGGAAGTCAGTCCTGTTTTTAAGAAGTTGGTTTGGTCTTCTTGTGGGATTTCTTGACAATAACACTGATATAGAATAGCAGCCCTATTATTAAAGTGGCAATAGGTAACTTTTATAAAAATAACTTTTTGTCATATTTGCTTAAACTTGAATATATCCTGACTGTAGAACATGAGACAGATAAAAAAAAATGAAAAAATCAGGTTCCTATGACTTGTTGTAGTGCTCCTAATGGTATTTGCAAGAATCCACCGGATTCAATCAAATACAGGCCATTAAATACAGACACTCTGGGACTCTGGGAAGGAGACTTAACAATCAACTACCTTCAAGCCTCCTGGTCCAGTTCAACTTGTTACAGGTTGGATGTAGAAACTTGAAGCCACCAGTGGGCAACATCCACTGGAGAATGGATTTACAGTGAAGTAGGGAGACATTCTTGTGTCCAGCAGGGAAGTGAACAACATTTGAATATTTTAGAGATTTTAATGTGGAAATGATACATTATTGTTCCAAGCAGACAATTTGGATATATGTGTTAATACAAGTCTGAAGGGGATCTTTAAGGATATGATATCATATCATCCATCGTTATGTGTGGAATTGACTCATGCTGATGTCTCTACAGTTACATTCAAACACTGAGCCAATGACACAGCTTATCAGTGCTGATTGATTGGCTACTTTGGGATGATTGGCTGATTGATCGCTTCAGAGCTCTGCGCCTCTTCTCAGTGTGATCACAGTTGAATACTATTTGGTGACATTAAGATAATCAATTCCAGCTCAAACTACTGCTACACTGCTATTGATGATTAACTCAAGACTGGATGGATGACTGTGTAGAGGAAGGATTTAGCCCACTTATTTATATATATGTATACTTTTATTGTGTTGTTTGATGATGATTTTAACTTATTTTACACAACATTTTGAGTGTCTCTACAAATAAAATGAATTATTATTCATACACTATGCAATAGAAACTGAGGTGTCTGTCGCAAATCTGTTAAAACTGTCACAGCACTTGGTTGGTTTGAGTACTTGTGGACGCTAGTGATGTTTGAAAAAAACACTGCAAAAGTGCCTTCTAGGGTGTTCTTCCAATGGTCAAAATGTGATAAAACTCCCTACTAGTGAACAAAAATGTGATAAAGCGCCCTGAAGTGTGCCTTTCCGGTGGACAAAACAAGACAAAGGGCCCGCTGGGGTACCTTTCCAGTGGACAAAATACAATAAAGCACCCACTTGGGTGTTAATTCTAACTCTGACTAAGCTGTTTCACCATAAATGCATCACAACTCTCTGCATGCTGCCCTTTTTACTGTTTTGTCCACCATTGGATGTTTAAATATGTTTAAACATATTTCCAGAGCAAATGATCCCTTTCTCTCTCACAGCAACACCACTTGTGTTCAGGTTAAACAGATTAGTGACATTAGTAGTTAACATAGTTGTAGCTTTGTGGTGTTACAGCCCTTGGGGACATGCATAGTGCTAAACAACACAACGTCTGCACTGCAGGTTCACAGACAGAGAGATCCGGCTTTGGCATGCTGACTGCCTGACCATGTTTGACATTCCAACTGTGCATCCTTTTAGGGCTGGGAAAGTCTGAGGGGGAATGAGTGCACCATTGTTCAGATCACAGCTTGTCTCCACATTCTGTTCAGCTGCAACACAAAGACCAATCACAACTCATGGTCAGGCTGCAGAGAACATGATGCTTGAACAACTGCAGAAAAAAACCCTCGGGTACAAAAATAATTTATTCTATAAACACAAGAATGTAATAAGTATTACTAAACTACTAGTACTAAATGTAGGAGTAGTTATAGTAGTATATATATTTGTTCATGACAGGAACTTTGTTAACATCTCACAGTCTGTTTGGAGAAACAGTATGACCCATATAGACCTGTTATAGAGTCTGGAGGGTGCCGCCGTAATAATTACTGACTTTTCCAGTTTAACTGGGATCAGTTAATAAAGCAGTTACAAATGTATCAATTACATCGGCATTTAATATGCATTAAAAACTCATACGTTAGTGAATACTTATTTATTTTTGTTTATATGCTACTCTGCTTACCAGTTAGTAAGTGGCATTAAAAATACTTTTGATCGAAAAGTTACTACCCGTAACTCAATGTAGTACATTTGTTTAACATAATTTCATTAGAAGTTGGCATAACTTGATTGCTACTGCTACTTCACTGGCATAGGATTGATGCAAACTGTTGTTGCTTTTTTCAGTGCATATGAAAGATCTCATTGTATCTAAGTTAATTCAGTTCGTTAGCAGTGCATTTTGTGACTCCCTTGTAGTGGCACAGAACCCAGAGATATTAGAGGTCATGGGTCATGTATGAGATGATTACTCTGCCTCTCCATGTCACCTTGAATCACCTCTTGAACACACTTTAAACACTTAGGACAGCTTTAATGGGCCATGTTATGAGTCAGGTGTGTTGATATGTGATGAAGTGTGTATAGCTCAGAGTGAACTTGCCTGATATTCTGTCAGTGTGATATTTCAGATCATGTTTGAGGCCACCGTAGTTTACTACATGCTTGGATGGTGAGCAGAATTCAGTTGCTTGCAATCTGCAACTACACCACTAGATGCTACTAAATCCTACACACCAGACCTCTAAGAAAATCTGTTTTATGATTTGATTGTTTACATGTTTATTGATTTAAGTTGGAATCTCGTAATTCCGATATGACACGAATGCGGCATGAGAACCACAGAAAGGGTAGGAATAAAAGAAAGTATTGAGAGATGGACTAACACGGTTTTGATCTTTTTATTGGATTTTTGGGCAGTTATACTGGGATTGTATATGTCAGACATATAGGAGATTTTACATTGAAGAATTCAGCCCAAAGTCCATTTTTACTGGTCTTTTTATTAGTTGTTAATAAATAACAATGACCCTCTCAGCTGCCATGCAAAGCATATGCTCTATGCTTTTATGGCACTCCAGTAAAGTTTTCGCTGCCTTGAAAAATGACAGTTTCATCCGCCTTGCTCTCAAACTTGTGACAAACTTTTGAGTTTAGAGTTTAACCAACATCCTCTGTCACCCATGGCTAGTCCTATTTCCAGGATAGTTTAAATGCTCACGTACCCTTCAGCTTGTTAACTTTGTCTTTACCCACTGCCGTTTTCCCAGTTGAACTAAGCATGTGCAACTCTCAGCAAAGATAGGAAGGAAGTAAGATGGCGCACTCCTTAGCTACTTTTCCATCATCAGCACTGAAAAAAATATTTTTTCCCCCACTTGCCTGATTGGGCATGTGAGTTGCTAGACTTCCTAGCCTGATGTGGCATTCGATTGGCAGTCATTTCAGCTCTACTTGCCTCTTTAAGCAGTGCAGAAGTAAGTCAAGTTTTAATAAGCATCAGTAAACATGAAAAGTGTTGTGAAAAGGGAATCAACAACTTCTTGTCAGTTATTCCTATTTGCTCAACAGGGAGGGGCAAACCAGGCACACCCAGCTATCCATCATGGAAACTACATGCTTGTGATTTCCTCAGCACTCTAGCTTTATTAAATTCCTTCCCACGCCTCCTACACACCTCAGTCATTGTCATAGAAATGTGAAACATTCAAATAGGAGAGGTATTTCCAACCTTTATTGAAACAGAGCCCTGATATGTACAAAGTCAGCAATAATAATAATTAAAAAAAAAAACGTTTTCATTAGAGCAAATGGCTTTAGTATTATGAACAACCAAGGACTGTAAATTCTGTTGAAATAAAAGGTCAAGTCATCCGAGCACAACAAGGTCCAGTTGTACAGTAAAGTTCCTGTCAGGATGAGAAGCAGGGTGAACTAAACCAGAACCAACCAGGCCTGGATTGTTCCGCAGTATGTCCAGGGAGGCAGAGTTGCATAGACGAGTGTCTTATGTAAAACAAGTGACCCAACTGTCATTAGTCAAACACACATTTACAGGTGCATTATTCCAACACCAAAGGAAACCATCCAGAGGCAGCTACAAGGGCCCGGAGGAAAACATTTTGAGGGTTTTACTTAAATATCTTTTAACTAAATGAAAGTAACATTTCTTCAGAAATCAGAATTAATCTTCAGAATAAAACACTGTGTGTGAGCTGACCGTCTCAAACTCTGCTCTACAGTCAGCTGGTTCAAGATTATCAGTTCTACCCCACACAAGCACATATTCATACAGTAGTGAAACAAAGGGAGGAACTGAGGTACACTTTTCACAGAAGTTCAAGAATTTGTCCAAAGTACATAAAAGATGTGTAAACATCTGCAATAATGTAAACCCATTTCTCAAAAAGCATCAGTAAAAAACCGACAAGCAACTGACAGCAGTCAAAAGCTTATTCCAAACCCATATGATGCATTTACAATCAGAGGGAAACTGCACACACACACCCACGCACACTGCGATGATGTGAAACATAAAGCCGTCACTCTGAAATCTGCCGGGTTTCGTCTCTAGCTGAGGAATGTCTTTGTCGGAAAAAATGAAACGATGGCTCATTAAAGAAAAGGTGAACATGTGCAGAAACATGAGGTAGTATAATCACAAAGAAACGGGATTCTGTTAAATCACTCAGGGTCCCAGTTCAGTTCAACATACGATAGACTTAAGGAGAAATCATTCAGCTGCTGACCTTTGGTTTCAGGGCAAGAACAGTTACAACAGCTGTACAAATGATCCAAAATGCATCCACACTCCTTATTTTTCACATTCCACTTTTGATCGCAGACACAGTTACATCTCACAAAGGCCAGATTTTTACATTTAGAGTGATTACTTCTCAACAAGAAACAAAACCTGCTCATTATAGTTTAGAACTTCCAATGCAACCTAAAGTGTATGAAATAATTGCGCTCCCAGAACATGGCTGTTCAAACATCATTCCCTTTAAAATTATGATTTTACTCCACAAATAAATGGTCCACAGTAAAATGTAAAAATGATCACATGGCAATTTAAAAAAAACATATTTTTCTTTGGGCAAATTACGTGCATCGGTCCTCATCCATAATTACACTCTGAACGAAAATCATCGAGACCATATACCCTGAAAAAGGATTTGGAGTGCCAAATCAAAGAACAATACAGCAGCTGATCTTGAGCCAAATTTTACCTGACAAGCAATTTAAAGGCACCATAGGTATAAAGAATTAGATTAGTGGAAAATAAAAAGTTATGTGCCCACGACCTGCTCTCTACACTGGCTTTCAAAAGGCAAAGAAGTGGGGGTAAAATTATCCAGTTATACTCCTTATTAAAACTAACATTCACAGGCATTTCTAGTTTGAGACATTTCTGCTCATATAGCTTTCCACAACGTATTAATAACAGACATGTTTTCACATTTCTGTTTGTAAAGACTGTTTCAAATTTACCTTTTATGACCAAAAAGGGGCAACTAAAAACACAAAAAATGCACTCCTCAACTTCAATTTGTCTTAAATCTGACCTGACCTTGCATTTGTGGCGACAAAAATTGTATCAAACATGTTCAGGAGAAACAACAACTAACTGAAATTACTCTCCATCTTCAGTGAAAGCTGGTCTGCTAACTGCATTTCACTGAAGATGTGTATTTAAGCACTGAATAGAAGGACCGTTTGCAACACTGATGTGGACCATAGAAAGGTGGCCGAAGAAAGGAGTTAGGTGTGTTAACAATGCCAACAAAAAACCAAACCCAGGCCACAAATATATAGAATTATTTATATTACGATTATATGACGGCATATGGCGATCTTTACTGGGACACTTTAGAAATCTGTCAGGCATTATTAATTCTGCTCTATCGTTTATACTAGCTAACTATTACTTTAAAAGCTTTGGATGCAGGAGGGCATTGTGGGCAATGCTGCAAATCAATAAGCATGGCTACTTTATATCAGAATTTTTTTCAAGTATCTGATTCACTGGCTTAGCCCAAATGGCCTCAATGAACTGATTATATTGCGATATATATCGTAATAAAGAGTTACATATCCCATGGCAATGGATTTTACACATATGACCCACTGCTAATAACTAACCATGACTCCAATGCCTGAATGTAAACCAACAGATGTCTGGAGAAACTGAGCCCCAGCAACAGAAAAAGGGCCGCTGACACTGTTTTCTGTCATCACATAAAGCTGTCAAATCTCACTGAGGCAACACGTGGCAGTCCTGTTTACTAGATCGCAGGCAAACAACAGGAAATACACCAACACAAGACAGGTAAGCATGTGGAACAACCCTAACTGTCAAAATAACAGAAACTCACACGAAACAAGAGGATGTCACAGTGTTTTCATTAAATATAACCATAGTGCCAGACACATGGACGTTCACCCCTGTGAACACACACATATTTAAACTAATGCTGTGGCTTCGGTTTAGAGTCAGTCACTACACCGGCCTTGGCACAGTGCCACTAACTCATGTTCTCTGACGGGAATTTCTCCAGACCTTTCCCTTCATCCCTCCCATCGATCAGTGCATCAGTTTCCTCAAGCTTCCCGCCGAGCAGCAGACCTAATGTTTCTTGCTTCATCGTAATATATTGAAGGCAAGACAAACATTCTCTAGCAGAATTGGCAGATGACTTCACTGTAAACAAAAGTCCCATTTCAGCCTCCGGACTTCAGGAGTAACTGCTCTCCCTTGCCTCTCCCTTATCTTCACATTCTTCAGATTAAAACAGGAGACCCTCACTGATGTAGCAGCTCCAGGTAAGAGTCACAAATCTGCAGAAAAACACAAGAAAAAGAACTTTTAACGTGTTTAAAAAACAAGTAGGCACAAAATGAGATTTTACATGCAGTGTTGAGTAGAGAGGAAGCTTGTGGCAGTGGATATAAATGTGCAGTGCGATTACCAGTGTAACCTGATTTCACTGAGCAACCTGTTTCTTTGTGTACATGTTAACATCCTGACAGTCGTCTGCAAACTGTTTGTCTCAAGAACGTCCAAGCCAGATGTGCTGGGCAGCATTGGGTTCGCAGTTTGACATTAATGGCCGCCGGGTGAATGTTTCTGGTGACCTACGACCTTTCCTCAACTACCAACACTAGGTTGAATTTCCACACGTGCACAAGAAATTGACACCAAGGTCATTTGACACTAATTTAATTAACTATTCTGACAATCGATTAATGGCTAAAGTCATTTTTCTAAAACATTTCCTTGTTTTAGTTTTTCAGTTTTTGCTGCCTTCCTTTGCGATACTAAAGGCAATCAATGCTTAGCCAGTGTGTCACTGTGTGTTCTGTTACTGTGTTAAATATTTCTCTCCTCAAATGTTTTCAAAAACATGTTGTTAGATTGAGTTTGTGAGCATTTACTTCCTGCTTAAAAACAGACAAAGCACCTCCCCAACAGGCATGTGTTGCTGCGTCACGTTTTGTTGTTCATCTATCCAATTATATCCAGCAGGCTTTGAGTCAGGGCCTGTTGATAATGCCCCTTGTTCTAGACTAATTTATATTTGCAAACTAGAACTGGTCTGGAAGAACGAGGAAGAAACAGAAATAGAAGCCTGCATTAGCTGCAAGTGGTGCTTCACACGTATGTCTTGATATAAGCTCAGATACTAAAGTGCTGCTCCCCTGATAGGTCTTTATTTGCTAGCAGAACATCTGTCAGCAGCTCTGTTACAACACTGTTTTTCTTGAGCAGACACTGAAGCCCCCTGGAGGATTTCACAGCTTGAGCAACGTGTGTGTGGCACAGAGACAGCTGGAGAGACGTTACTGACGTTCTTTCAACCGGCTTTTAAACACTGACGCTCACTGTGCAGCAGTGAGGGGGTGAAGTTTGCTGCAGCCTATAAACAGAGATGTGCTGAATCAGTGCAGCACTGTGAGACTGCTGCAGCAAACTACCTCAGACTCTTTTACAGCAATGCCCACTGCAGAGTGCCCTGCCTGCTGCATGCACACAGGCTAACTGACGTGCACATTTGCTGCGTGTATAAAGATTCAAAACAGCAGCGCAGATACAAATGTCTGGTAGCATATGAAAAAAGAAAAAAAGTAGCTGTTGAGTAAAGCAGTGCATGGTGTAACTGAAGCCTGTAACAGAGGTGTGGTGGGACAGACCAACAGGAGGTCACAGGCTTGCTGTCAATCACACTAACAGGGCAGCTGACTGCAGGGCCTGAGAACACTTCCAAAGAGCCTGGGAGGTCCTGCACGCTGCCTTGTATCAACACTGCTGATATGTCTCACAGCATGTCGGTGTGGTAACCGCTGTGTCGGGGATTATGTTCAGCTATTGTGAGCAGCGGTGAGGAGACGGAGCCTCTGGTGAATCCTGCTGCACATACAGTTGTTAAATGTGACCTGCAGCACCATGTGAGGGGACCGCTCGGCTCGGCCGTCACAGATACGGTTTGTGCCAACGTACTCAGTTACATAACTGACTTAACAGAGGGGCCGGAAGGGATTTATAGCTCCATCCTGCAGTCCATAGAGACAACGCGCTTTAATGACCAGTGCTGACATGTCATTTTTATGTGGCATGGGAAGTGGACAGATGGAGATGCTACTTGATTCAAACAAACCAATATGGATTTTTTCAGTGTAAGTTATTGGTAAGATGTGAATGAAGGATTAACTGGGAGAAGGCAAGCGACAGAGAAGATGTCTTGTTTGCTCTGTTGGACACACAAACCAAACAGCCACAATGAATTTGGGCCCTGCTATCACGTTACTCATGGACTTACTGTTGAACGTGAAAGCACAGGTTAGCCAGAAGCTGCTCGTGTTTACTACCCCACACAGTCAAACCATGCCGCACTGATTTGCATTTCCATTGCCAGTTAAAATGAGTTGTGCCAAGCCGTGCCAGAGATTGCCCTTCTCCAGAGCACGCATGACCCGCCTACAAGCAGGCTGTGGTGACACCTCGCAGACCTATGACACCCCCCCTTCTCCTTCGCGAAAGGCCCTATCTACAGTCATTGTTTGTCTGTTCTGGGCTACTTTAGAAACATGGTGGCTGTTTTCATTCATTTAAGGGTCATTGTAACTAGGGATTATAATTCTGTAGTGTCATTATACCGTGATATTGTCTGAGACTGTAATTGTAATGTGAAAATCTGATACCATTGCAATACTAAAGTGAATATAGCTGCCAGTTATACTGTAGCTCCCTTTTAGAAGACAAATATCTTGTTCAGCATTTGGTGCACATGCAGGGAGCTGATTGGGGGATGGAGGAATGGGTGAATGGGAGGTAGGGCGGGGGCAGGTTTAGCAGGAAAAAAGCAAAGCAGGAGAGGGAAGGTCAGCTGGGATTATTGTAGCTCCTATACTGGCCCTGCTCACATAATATCCTCCCCACCTCCTTCAGGAGCAAGGCAAAACAAAAGGAAAATGCCATGAAACATTAAAGAAAGTGATTCTGGTAGCTCAGTTAAGCAACAAGCAGGCCGCCATACTATGTAATACCATGAACTCTTTATGTACAAAAAGCAACAGGAGGAGCCAGAGCACGCTCGCTCAGCCCCTTTCAAACACAGGCATCTGTGTACCGTTGGATCTATGGCCTCTGGGCCAGAGGGAGGCGGGGGGGTTTGGTTGCATAAGAGGTATCCTGGTTAGCTCCAGCACAACAAACACATGCATGCTTATCCAGGCAAGATGACTGACAGTACAAGAGCACATACAGTGAGAGCAGTTACTGCAGTTAGAAAATATGTGCCCCAGGCAGGACACCAACAGCCATCCCACCTCCGCTCCTAGTCATTCACCTGCACATAATAAAGTCTATGCAACGTTCCACAGCAGCTCACACAGCAAATGTAACATTGACAGCCATCAACATGGAGAATTTCAACTCACTATCACTATATACTCACAATTTCTTATTTGGGTCATTACCAACTTCACACGAGTCCCTGAGAACTACAAACCACTGCAGGCAACCACACAATGCCAAACTTCTACCAAGAGCATTTACACTTGTGTGCTAGTATGTCTGCGTCACTTTTCAATTACCCTGCTGAAACATTAGCGGGTGGTAGGGTTTCTATGCCACTGCATTTCTTTCTTCGTCATACAATGGTGACTGAAACTAAAATGTTAATGAGCTAATGCAGTTACTTTTGCTGAAATTACTGCAACACAAACATCAGAGTAGATGGTGTGTGCGACCATTGAACTGATCAGGGCAAGGGATAGTAGAATTTTTTTTCTGCTTGTCCGACCACTGAGACATGATATTCAGTTAAATATGGGATAGTGGTTGACCAACATGGGCTTTTTCAATGGCCGATATATAATGCCAATAGCAAAACAAAGAAAAGTCATGTACAATTCTATTCCATTCTACAAGAAATGTAGGTGTACGTTTACAGCAGGATGCATGAGAGTTGAGTACAGGAATGAAACAACCTTTTTCACCACCTTCCCAAAACTCAGAAGAAGGAGCGCTAACATCGTTGCACAGCAGCCATGCTGACATGGCTGACTGCAGATGTGCCTTTTTTTGTTTAATGGCCTTGTGCGCACAGGCATCAGCTGATTAGCTTTAAATGCCAAATCATCGGTCCAATTAATCACACCACTGATTAATCTATCACTAATATGGGAATAACCTGAAAGGAATTCAAAGTTTTGCACTTGGCTGTATATGTGACAAGAATGAAAAAAAGAGCTTTAGAGACCCTTCTGAAAGTTTTGTCGGACGCAGAACACAAAATTCCAACAGGGGAGTGGGGGGAGGGCCTTTTACAAGCTGAGTCTTTGGGCTGCAATTTGAATAGTGCTCTATAGTAATTGTGAATCACATACAATTGGTATTTCCAATTGGAGAAGCAGCAATTCATAAACATGACAGCACATTACAAAGTTTAAATGGGATGCTTATATGAAGAAAAAGGTGTAAGTACCTGTAAAAAGGGTTTGAGGGTCATGCAGCACACATAACCTGGTCCATTCTGGCCTGCAGCTCTGAAGCGTTGGGCCGGTCCTGAGGGTTGACGGCGAGCATGTCCTGCAGCAGCTTCCTCACTCCGTCAGACATGCACGACCTGCGTTTCTGTGGGATGTCCAGTACCATCTTTGGATTCTCTAGCAGTGCCTCACCCACCGGCACAATGTCTGCTCCTTGCCTCACATATGTACCCAGCAGCTCCCGCTTAGACTCCGCGTCAATAAAAGTAATTCTCTCCAGCATGGCCCAGATGATGATGCCTAGGGCAAATATGTCAGCCTTGGCTGTGTAGTGGCCTTCCCACACCTCGGGAGCCATATAGAAGTCTGAGCCACACGCTGACGACAGCCAAAACTTGTTGACATTGATGTTTTTGTTCTTGTCTTCACCAACCTTGCCCTCGCTGGCATTTCCTAAACCGGCGCAAACTTTACTGAGGCCGAAGTCGGCCACCTTGAGAACCGGAGCCCCTGACTTCTCTGAGATGAGGATGTTGTCGGGTTTGAGATCTCTGTGGACGATGTTGTTTTCATGCAGGAAGGCGACAGCACTGGTCAGCTGGAGCATAAAGCTGTTGTTGGTTCGCGAGTCGGGCCGCCGGGACAGGATGAACTGGTTGAGGTCGCCGCCTTCACAGAACTCCATGACGAACCAGAGGTAACACGGCTCCTCTGGAGGGCCGAGCACTCTCTCACCTGCAACAGACGCACACCAGTCATTCACACAGTAGTGCAATAATACACACTAAAACTAAGACGTGTCTTTATAATAAGACATGTCACTGAGAAAACACATCAGATCATTTGATACCAGGCTGTAAGATCACAAGTTCCGATGAGCCAGTGAATTGGCACACCAACTATCTGACATTAGGCGTTTCCACTCCAACCTCATTGTCCTTCCTTTATCAGGGTGTGGGTGGTATTTATCTGATTGAATGGGCTGAGACCGTTCAGGGTACCTCAAACATGGTTTGGCTTGAATTTCAGGTTTTCAGCAAATAAAAATGCATCTGGCTGGATGTTAGCGTTACAAATATCTGTTGCCCAAATAGGAAAGGAAGAGAGCCCGATAGGAGCCAGGCTGACCCAAGAGGAGTGTAAGAAAATATTACAAGAAAATGTATACACTGTACCACCGAAGTCTTGCCAATTAACCGCCCTAATGTCCAGTCTGGACGGAATGGTCAAACAATGGGAAATCAGAGAGTGTTGCAGCACTCAGCGGGCGGACTGTGCTTGGAGCAGATGATTGGAGGCGCACTCTGTTTACATCGATGATGCTTAGTGCACAGAAACAGTCCAAGTGGATGCACACGGTTTCTTTTTATGTGAACATGAAACCATATCATCACCATCTTGTTGCTGCTGTTAACATTCAACCAGACAGAAACTGCATTCCTGGGTGTATGTGTGTAGTTTCAGTTTACAATATTTTCTATATTATTCTATAATTGAATGAATTGTCTTTTTCTGTGTGTGTAGCATAACACACACATGATTTGTTATACAACCTTGTGATGCATAATACATGTCCTTGATTAATGACCCACTGTATGGCAAACAATGGAGAGCTGTGGCCATTATTCAGACTGCCTACTTGTGTTGTTAGAACCACTCCATACAGGTCACTAATCAAGATGCATACTTCAAGTAGCTTTGAACAATCTGTGAAGGAGGTACACATCTGGACCCTCACTGTTGTTTTGTAATAGTTGAAATTAATAATTCGGTTTTTCACAATATTACCATCATGTGCTTTATTACAAAGAGCACAAAACCTGCACTAGATAAGCAGAAATGAGTCAGCAAGGCACATGAAGTTTACAAATATAGATAGAAGGCAAATGATGTGGTGGATTTTGGGCTGACGGCCAAAGGAATGTGGACAATACCTCTGTGACTACAGCCAACACAGCAGACTCCATTTTAGTGAGTCAGGCTCCGGAGCTCCTTCACAAAATCTACCCATCCCCCCAGCGAGCCTGTGTCATGGCGACAACAACAATTCCACTTAAAGGGGAAAACAAAGCAGACCCTACAAACTAAACCTTTCTAGCATCGATCTGTCTTTTGGGCAACTGGAGCCCAGCCAGCAGTCAACACAACAACTCGCAAAACTAAAAGCACCGAGATGAAACACTCCTCCGGGTTAGCCAAATCAAATGATGATAGTTACAGACACTCCCCGAAACTGTTGATTGACCCTAATGCTGTTTTTTGTTTTTAAATAGACCCGAGCAAAACCATACACAGCAAATCAGTCCCTACATCTGAGGGAATAGGACCTGCTTTTGATAGGAAGTCCAAACTACATTTATAAAACTTGCCATTTAATATTAGATTGGCGATGTCGGTTTACCCCAAAAAACTAATTGCCACGAAATATCAGCTTCTTCAATCTTAGTTCATGCTTTTCAGTTCGGCATTCATTCAAAACCAAAAGATGGAGCCATTTCAGCATGGAATACAGAGTAAACAGCACATACATCTGAGGAAATACCTCCTACTTTGGAAAGGAAGTCCAAACTACATTTTGAAATCTTGCAATTTAATATATGGGGTGGCCTCCCTTCCTGAAGTATTAGCGGCTGCTGTCACTGTCCGAAGTGACTCGGCTCAAACAGAGCCTCACCTTTTAATGAAGTCTCCACCAGTCGCAGGTACTGTTTGGACCGTTTGTTGCCGTGGCTCATTTTCTGGGCCATCCCGTTCCTCTGCAGCACACACTCCTCCAGCTGGACCACATTCTGGTGCCGTTTCTCCAGACTTGCCAGCGCCCAGAACTCCTGCAGGGCGAGCTCCACATTTTCCGGCGCGTCGCATCGCAGTTTCTTCACGGCAACTTTAGCGCCGGATCTCCGCGCCACCGCTTCGTACACCACGCCGTACGTACCCCTCCCCACCTCCCGCAGCAGACTGTAGCGGGGCGCCATGACCCTCAGCCCCAGGTTGTCCTGCTTAAAGAGGTCGGTGTCCCCCTTCATGTCATGGTCCTCTTCCGTGTTTCCCACGCTGAGGCAGCGCAGCACGTTGGACTCGTCGGCTCGCGCTCCGATTCGTTGTCTGCAGACTGCTCGCGCGCTCCTCGTGCGTCTCCGCGGGTTGTCGCCGCCGACCGTATCCATACGTCCGCGGGAACCCTTCACGACTCAAACATGAAAAAGAAACATGTCCGTCCACATGTTGACAGCACCAGCGGCGCCCTCGCTCTCCTTTATTACAGAGGCGAGAACAGAAGAGAACTGGCTCAATGTGGACCAGAAGGAGGAGGAGGAGTGTAAACCACGAGTAAAGATCCCTTCAGTGTAAGAGAATTTCCGGTTAAGGCCCTCAAAATAAAACCTGCAATGTTGAATGTTTCTTGTTGAGTATGTTAAACTGGAAAGACTGTTTTAGACTTTAGGTTAAGGCCAGTGTCAATTCAAATAAAGTTTATTCAGTTTGTCAATGTTGACAATAGAGAGAAAGGCAGTATTCACTAGTATATCCACTACTGAATTGAGGTTAATTTCATAACAAATAACGATATATATAAATGCAGTGAATTCTGAAGAGTTATAATTTAGACAGTCGTGTGTACATTTTGTCAAACAGATATGAAATCTCAGAGACATCTTTTCTACAACTGTAATATTAAAACGACTTTTATTACTTATGTTATATATTGATTAAAAAGTATAATTTAACTTATGTTTGAGATTGTTTTGTTTGTTTTGTTCATTTGTTTGTTTTTCTTTTCTCTATTTCCCCCTCTCTGTTAAAGTACGCTGATTGGACTGTTGGTTATTTGTTAAAGTACAGAATATATGTGTATATATATATAT